CTACCTACCTACCTACCTACCTACCTACCTACCTACACAAAAATACTACTATAATAAATACTACCTACAAAAAAATTTTAATTATATGGTGAACTTACAGCTCAAATTATTTGAAAAGGTCCCGGCTTAGGTAACTTCTCGCGTACACACTCGACACGGGTCTACATCATACTTCTTGCACAGTACCTATGTTGTAGCTGACGCTCGCACGCCTTCCTCTACTTAACTTTGTCCAAAATTTAGACGTAAAAGTAAGGAAAACACAATGACAACAATAACAACAATCAACAAAGACAATAGCGAACCGAACAACAAAGGGCCCGCGACCTGCTGTTCGCGTTGCACTTAACATCGTGTTCAATGAAATACGGTCTCCCTACAGCGCCATCTGTTAGGGCGTAGCAGAAACGGCGTCAATATTTAACTTTATTTTGGTCAGTAATTCCGGACAGTCCATACATATTATTTTATTTTCTAACCTGTCAATATATTTATGGCATTACAGATTCCATACTAGCGACTCATACTCTAGGACTTGGACTTGGAAGTTGTTTTGGGGAATAGAGTCAACTTGCATATCGAAGAGCAAATTGTTTTCATTGCAAAGGTCTACCACTCAGAGTATAAGAAGAAGTATTAATTTCCGAGTATAGGTACGTACCGAGCACTTCGAGAGATGAATATCAAGTTTATTTGTGGCGCAATAATTTTCTAAAGTACAGAGATCAGCGTAATGCGATGCCATGTCATGAAACCATGATATTGTGGCAAATATTTTCATGTTGTCTGACAAACACAGCAGGCTCGAAGACTCAAGGCAGGAGGCAAAGTTGTTCACGCAGATCCCAAATAATAAGGGCCCAAGTAAGGATATTTTATAATTGCATGTTCTTATAACTTAAAAAAAAAATCGTCAAAATGTAAACATTGACATATGCCCCCCGCTGGGGCCTTACGGCTTCAATTCCCCAAGATATGGGGTGATGAGACCTCAAGTCACCAGGTTGCCCCAAAGCGTAGTTGTTGATCTCACACACATATTCGAGTTTTTTACAACAAGGTGACAAACGAACAAGCGGCCTTCAGAAAACGCCGATATAACAAAGCGAACGCTGCCCATAGAATTGAAATTCCAGATACTTTTCCTGCATTTAAACGACGACAGAGAGAAACCACAGAAAGAGGGAAATATATGCTCTTCCTGTGCGTCCTCCTGATATCCATTTGTAAACATTTAATTTCGTATGGTCGTGGTATTGCAACAGGAGAGCCGGCTCATTCGTGTAACAGATATTGTTGTTACTGGCTTCTACCACTGTTAGATACGTGTAGATACGTGCAGGTTGCAACACGATGTATAAGTAATATACGCCACTTTAAGAATAGCGGATAATTATGAAATATAAAACCAACGCGTTAACGATGCACTATTCAATTCATATTTGATAATCCTAAAATAATAACAAAAAAAAAATCCTGCATAATTGGTTGTCGCTCGAAATTGCTATATGACTAAAGCGACAGTGCACAAAAAATTTTACCCGCGTATCGCCACGCCGCCTCCGCGAAGTGACGGCGAGGAGTGCGGGCTCCCGCCTGTCATCCTGCCTCTGCCGCCTCACCCTCACGGGGTCGAGGTCCTGCGGCGCGGCGCGGGCTGGGGAGGCGGGGGGCGCGTGGCGGCAGACACTCCGGCACCGGCTCCCATCCCCCGCCATTCTGCTAGTCCGCGCCGCGCCTCTCTCGCGATCGCTCGTGTCGGTGTCGTGCGTTTAGTGCTGTTTGAATGTGTGTCAGTGTCCGGTGCGCATACGGAGCGTGTGCGACGCGTGCGAGGGCCATGCTGGGCAGGTGAAGCATGGCGCTGGCGGTGCGTGTGGCTGTGGCGCTGACTCTGGTGTCG